GACCCATCGCATGGCAGGTGTATGTGTTACCATTGTGCCAATCAGTTCATGAACTAATTGCCAATTCATGTTTGTTCACATGTCAGTCAGTTCAATTCGGCCCAATATAAACGAAGGGAGACACAGTTGACTATATGTGAACTCCAATCGGAAGCCTCCCATCACATCAGGTCTTCCATACTGGTTACAGGTGCATGGTTGACTGGAAGAGCTGATGAAGGCGCATAAAAGTGAAGTCTGAAGGATGATCAATTCTAGTCAATTGATACAATATTCACTGGTTGACATTTCGTAAAAACCTTTACCGTTCTGTTTTATCGTTACTGGAAGTGACACTCGCGCTACTTCCATCCCACCCCAAACTGAACACGTATGTTCACCGAAGCTAGGCACAGATACCGGAAAAAGTTATTAGTATGCAATACAATTCGATACAATAGCTTTCTTTTGTCAGTCAGAACCCAGTTGTTTTTGATTTGAAGTTCTCTTGTTTCTGCTCTGCCCCGCCCCGCCTGCCTTTCATCCCCGTCTCGAATTCATTTAAATTTAGGTTAAATTCAATCGTCGTGGTACAAAACTACGCCGATTCAGTCGTGAAACCGATCGAATCACTCCGGATCATTTGGCTTATTTGGACGAATCACCGGACTATTGCACCTACGATCCAGTGCATCAGATTCCCGGCACACACGGTCGTGAATGCTTGCCCAACTCCACCGAGGAGGCCAATTGTTCCGAGTTGTGTTGCAATCGTGGTTCCCGTGTGTTGTTGAGAGAAGTCCAAGAGAAGTGTCATTGCCAATTTCACTGGTGCTGTCGTGTCGAATGTCAGACCTGTATTCGAACGGAAGAGTATCATGTGTGCAATTAAGAGGAAGAGAAAAGTGGATGAGGTAGAAAACCGAGAGATTAGTGGAAACCGTTTCCAACCCCCGGAGACGGAAGAACAGAATGAGATAATTGGTTCATGGGTGCAGGATGAAGTATAACTAACTGATCTGTTCCACCTTCCAGTTCATTCATCCACCCATCCGAAAACAACTGCCACCACTGTCTACTCGCGTTGACCGTTGAAATCTCTGTCATCTCGTCAGACAAGTATTCGATTATGCACTGTTACACACTCAGTTGCCTTGTTTCTCTAGTCCATCTCATTTCTGTTCTCCGTTTCCTGCTCGGTCTCCCTCACCCTCCATCCCTCCATCCCTCGCCCAATCAACACACACCAGTCCATCAAATATCATATTTCACTTTTCACTTTCCTCACTTCTGTGTGACTAAGACGTTCACATTCAAGAAACAAACTGACCTCTATTACAACCATCTTATATATTCACCTTTATTACTTTCGCAAAGGGATTCTGTCAATCAGGCTATGTCATTTGTTGAGTTTTCACACACACACACATACATACACACACACACACCATGACAGCTCACTCGGGGAGTTGTTGTCGTTCCGAGGTACCAAGTGCCACAGCCCGAACAGATGATGGACATTAGCGACGGGTTGACGGACGAATGTACTAATTCGATCAATCCCGGATATATATATATATATAAATATATTCATATATAAATGCACATTCATGCCCGGGCCCGAGCACGCGCGCATGAATACAAACCACGTGTTTGTGTGCGTGCCTGCGTGCGTGTGTGCAATCATCTTCACTTTTTGTACAGCTCAACCAGACACACTTGCTATATGCACTTGTTGTTGCTCTTGCTGTTGTTGTTGTGGTGTTGGTGGTGATTATTCGCCGAAAACACACTGGAATGATGCAACACATCACACACGATCATCGTATCCAACCCCCGTATGCCTTCGGCAATCCACGTATCATTCAATTCTTGCCCACAAGCCGACCGATTACGTAACCCCTGTCAGCAATTTTCATTGTGTATTTGATGTTGTCCACATTAGTGTTACTGAGAATATATGATAACCGTATCGATCGTAACTCGAAAGAATATGATGCTTTGATGCTGCTGATACTGCTGATAATAATGAAGATGGTAATGCTGATGCTATTGTTATTATTAACGATAACATTAACAATCTTATTGCTACTACTACTACTACTACTAATAATAATAATAATAATGCAAAGGATTTCTTTATGAGTACTAGTTGGTATTTGTACTACCCATCAACAAGTTCTACTTGTAATAAAAGCCTGTTGTGCTGCAGCTCAGATGGAAGCGTTTATTCCAAAGATATGAATTAACAAAACCGGTAATCAGCAACGGCGAACAAGCGGATTTTTTGTTTGTTAAAATTAGCGATCAGGTATTTCAGTGTCTGAGGAGAGTCCCAAAGAGCACATTTCGAATAGCAGAAGAACAGAGAGCGGCGAACAAGACTTGTTTTCAGTGATTCGTCCCCCTTAGCTTAAACATCACAATCTATACACAAATCAGATAAAATACAGACCAGACTCTACATCGAAAACAGTAGACATTATATTCATTCTTTCAAGTTTATGAATTTATTACTATTATTATTTTGTAAGTAATATCTCCATCCTGCTCCATTTATCCGAGTTATTTAAATCATGATGTATTAACCAAAGAAGATGAACCACTGAAAACGATTGTTATTCGCTATATTCTGTTCTGATCGCTTTTTATTTTCCATTTACACGATATAGCACAAACCACCTTTGCGAGCTTGTTGCGGGCCACAGACCTTGCTCAGCTCAGCACTAGCCTCGAGGGTTATGACTACATCGTGTAAATGGAAAATGAAAAACGATCTGATCAGCTGCCCCGGGATGATCGAGTGAGCAGCACGCTTCCGTTCTGCTTGTGATGAGGTCCCAGGTTCGCGA